TGGAAGATTAGAATCTTAGACATAGACTTCTTTTTTAGTTGAAATAAGACAATTGGGGCCGAATTCCACCTAGTGGCCGCACCCCACCTTGTTTTTGGTTGATTTTGAACAATTTTCCTTTATGTTTTGGATTATTAGTTGGCGATTTATTTTGGATATTCAGTTTTAATCCTTGAATCAATGCAATTATTTTGAATTGATACTTGTTTTTATAAACTTTCATGCATGTGACCAATTCAAATTAATTTTTCATTCTAGGTATGACTAGTGGGAAGGTTAGTTGTCTGGCAGATAGTGCAACCACGCATACTGTTTTGCGTGAACGCATCTATTTCACTAACTTCGTACCTAAGAATGCACCTCTGACAACCCTCTCAGTCCCATCCAACCTGATAGAAGGATATGGTAAGGCACGTATAATGTTGTCCAATGGTACAATCTTGACCATTGCTGAGGCACTCTATTCTCCACGTTCCGGAAGAACGTTACTAAGTTTCAAAGACATTAGAGATAACAATTACCACGCTGAAACCCACGTAGAAAACGGAGTTGAATTTCTGTGCGTAACTTCCTACGAATATGGCCAGAAGCGTATTCTAGAGAAGATGGAGCGTAACCTGAGTGGTCTGTATACTACGACCATACGCCACATCGAATGCCACTATATGGCCGGCCCTACCACAGGGACCGCGCACGAAATTACACATTGGCATGATCGTTTGGGACATCCTGGACGAATAGCGATGCGCCGTATCCTCAAAACTTCACACGGGCATCCACTAACCGGAAGCTTAGGTTCGATCCATGAAATCGCATGTCAAACATGTTCTATGGGAAAGCTTATTACTAGCCTTCTTATGACAAGATTCGTTCGAATCCTCCCATTTTTCTACAACGGATTCAGGGGGACATTTGTGGACCGATTCAACCTCCCTGCGGACCATTTAGATATTTTATGGTTTTGGTTGATGCTTCTACATGTTGGTCACACGTGTGCTTGTTGTCCACAAGGAACGCTGCATTCTCCAAACTGTTGGCTCAGGTTATCAAGCTCATGGCTCACCACCCTGATTATCCGATCAAATCTATTCGATTGGATAATGCTGGAAAATTCACATCTAAAACTTTTGATGACTATTGCATGTCGGTTGGGGTTGAAGTTGAACATCATGTACCCCATGTTCACACCCAGAACGGCCTGGCAGAGGTTTTCATTAAACGTTTACAAATGATTGCTCGATCATTGGTCATACGTACCAAGCTCCCGATCGCTGCTCGGGGCCATGCAATATTGCACGCAGCAAAGTTGGTCCGCCTGAGGCCTGTTGCGACACAACCATTTAGTGCCCTTCAGTTGGTCACCGGATGCGAACCCGACATATCGCAGCTGCGCATGTTTGGTTGTGCGGTCTATGTGCCGATTTCGCTACCCTTACGTACAAAAATAGGGCCTCAGCGAAGGATGGAAATCTATGTCGGATATGATTCTCCTTCGATTATTCGTTACTTAGAACCTTTGACAGGTAATCTATTTACCGCTCGTTTCGCGGATTGTCACTTCTATGAGACAGTCTTCCTGCCGTTAGGGGGAGATAAGAACGTCAACGTTCTGAATGAACGACGCGAATTATCGTGGACGACTCCCACTTTGTCTCATTTAGATCCCCGCACCGCTCAGTCTGAAGTTGAAGTGCAGCGCATATTAGATCTCCAGAGCATAGCTCAGAGCATGCCAGATGCTTTCACCGATCTAGCGCGCGTGACAAGATCACATATTCCAGCTGCGAATACGCCTGCAAAGATATATGTACCAAATGTACGACGGACTACCCTCTTGGAAGCCCGGGACGCCAATTCTGGTGATCCACGTACATTAGCGGCTAGCCAATCATCTGCCCCTACACAAAAGCATGGCAGACCCCTTGGTTCAAAGGATTCACACCCCCGGAAAAGGAAAACCACGGCACAAGGTCCTGAAGAACCTACCGTGAATCCGACTATCGCTTACTCATTTTACCCAACGCATGAGGAAATTCTAGATTATGGAAGCGTCCTTGAAGAGACGAATCCTCCTCCCGAGAATCGTGAGATTTTGATCTATTATGCTAGCTTAGATGATGTGTGGCGTAGAAATGAGATGATTGTCGACGATGCATTAGCATTTGCAGTAGCTACTGAGATCATGTTGAGCGATGACAATGAACCGCGTTCCGTTGATGAATGTCGACGTAGAGCTGATTGGTCAAACTGGAAACAAGCAATCCAAGTCGAACTTGATTCACTTGCGAAACGTAAGGTGTTTGGACCTATAGTCCCTACTCCTCCACATGTGAAGCCCTTTGGCTACAAGTGGGTTTTCGTTCGGAAACGTAATGAGAAGAACGAAATTGTGCGTTACAAAGCTCGTCTTGTAGCACAAGGTTTCTCACAACGCCCCGGGATTGACTATGACGAAACTTACTCACCCGTTATGGATGTGATTACTTTTCGATACCTTATCAGTTTGGTAGTTTCCGAAAAACTGGATATGCAGCTGATGGACGTAGTAACCGCGTATCTCTATGGGGATCTTGATACAGAAATTTATATGAAAGTTCCCAAAAGACTTACATTGACTAGTTCAAATATTTCCAAACCCCGGAACACACTTTCAATTCGGCTGAGGCGTTCACTATACGGTTTGAAACAATCCAAAAGAATGTGGTATAACCGTCTGAGTGAGTATTTGACTAGTCAGGGATATATGAACAACGAACTATGCCCTTGTGTGTTCATTAAGAAGTCATATTCCGGATTTGCGATTGTTGCAGTATATGTCAATGACATGAATCTCATCGGAACTCCTGAAGAGCTCGCGAGAACTGCTTCGCACCTGAAGTCAGAATTTGAGATGAAAGATCTAGGAAAGACTCGATACTGTCTCGGTCTCGAGATAGAGCATTGTTCGGATGGAATCTTAGTACATCAATCGAACTACACCCAGAAGGTGTTGCGCCGTTTTAATGAGGATAAAGCGAAGTCTTCGAGTACTCCTATGGTCGTTCGTACGCTAGATGCAAAGCGAGATCCCTTCCGTCCAAATGAGGATAATGAAGAGATTTTGGAGCCTGAAGTTCCTTATCTAAGTGCGATAGGCGCTTTATTGTACTTAGCTTAATGCACTAGACCCGACATCTCATTCGCTGTTAATCTTTTGGCAAGATACAGCAATGCACCAACACGCAGACATTGGACTGGCGTGAAAGACATCTTCCGTTACCTTAAGGGTACTACGGATTTGGGCTTATTTTATCCCTACGAATCCTCGAGTGATGCCGCACCCTATGCTCATCGGGTTAATTCTTGCCTTGTTGGTTATGCCGACGCTGGATACTTATCTGATCCGCACAAGGCGCGTTGTTAAACGGGTTATGTCTTTACCGTTGGAGGCACTGCAATATCTTGGAGGTCAACTAAACAGACCTTAGTTGCCACTTCGTCTAACCATGCTGAAATTCTCGCCTTACATGAAGCAACTCGGGAATGTTTTTGGTTGAGAGCAGTAATGGGCCATATTCGAAGCTCTTGTGATCTTCATCCTGCCGTTAATGCCCCGACGACGATTTTTGAAGACAACGCAGCTTGCATCGAACAGCTTAAGAAGGGTTACATCAAATGAGACAACACCAAGCATATTGCGCCGAAGTTCTTCTTTACACATCAACAACAAGAGCATCAGAAGATTGAAGTCACGCAAATCCGATCACAAGACAATCTGGCCGACCTCTTCACCAAATCACTACCGAATGCGACGTTTCAGAAGCTTGTTCATGGAATTGGTATGCGTAAACTTTCTGAGTTGTAACTTTGCTATTTCTCTTTGGAATTATGTCAAACTCAGGGGGAGCATCTTCTGGATACTTGCTTGATCTTAATGTACTCTTTTTCCCTATGATTAGGAGCATTTTTCCCACTGGGTTTTTGCTACCTAACTAGGTTTTAACGAGGCACCCACCTTGGGCTGGTCATATCCCTGATGACGTCATGTAGACGTTTCTTTTGACTTTGCATTTCTCACGCATTTTTCCTTAGACTATGGATTTTGTCCCTACTTGGGTTTTTGCCATAGCCTTAGGGTTTTTCTTTAGTGAGACTTACTACTTATGCAAGTTCCTACCTTATTGAGAATAAGCGTTGTTCCTTGGAATCAGTGCCGACAAGTCGACTTCCTCAACTTCTGCATGATGTTAAATCTACCTTAAGTATTTGCACACTCAAGGGGGAGTGTTGTAAACATTCCTAGAATAAGTATGATTGTGTAAATCCTAGATTAGATTTGATTCTAGTTATCCTTTCTTATTACAACTTGTATTACTTGGAGGAGAAGGAATATCTTCTCTCCCTTTACTACTATAAATAAAGGCACAATGTAGGAGGGATAACAACACACACATTCCCCTACAATTCTACAAACACACATCTCTCTTCTCTCTCCCACTGCCGTCGGCCCTCTCTATTTTGTCAGATAAAAATAGACCACAACAAAGAGAAATTAATCAAGCTAGATAGCTGAGCCCATTTTCTCCATCTCTTTGTCATCCATTTCCTTTCTCTCTCTTAAATATTATTTACTATAGTAGCTTTCAGCTTTTGGTTTTCAACCTTCAATTTCTAAAAACTAAAAACAAGAAGTAATTACCAAACAAGTTTTTAGTTTTCAACAAGACTGAAAATTTAAAACAAAATTGTTTATCAAACATCTCATAACTTAAATGATGACTGGTCTAGTTGTATTTTGCTCACTTGTAAACGTTCTAAACATTGTGAAGTTAAAGGTTTTAAGTTCAAATTTTGTAAATGTTAAAGTTTGGTATCAATTTATTTTCTCATCATTTAATGTTAATATATCGTTGTATTAAATAAAACAAATTGAATTTGGAGACACAATGAAATTATAAGGATGAAAATGCAAAAAAATAGACTATTGAGGACAAAAGTAAGACCTCTATGTAAATAACAACAATTAGGGAGAAAGAAGAATTGGTTTCTGGTTTGTGTTTGGATCTGAACAACCGGGAGACCGCTCCACAGAGAATAGCGAAAATAGAGAGGAGAAGGAGAAGATGAAGGTCTCCTTTTTCTGAGTGGCGTGTTAACCAAAAAATTCAAGCGTTTTATTAGAAAAATGACGCGTTTTCGTTGTCCTGGCGGTCGTCCTCCTCTTCCTCTTCCTGATTTGATTACATTAAGTTGTCCGTCCCGACTCCGAACCCAATTATGGTAATTAACCGCGCCCTGCTCCTTGCTCGTTTTCTTCGTATGATATGGGCATTTGGATGGTGTTGTATTTCTTCAGCGTATTGTGGATGTGCTCTTAGGGTTAGTACCCAACTATAGTATAGTAGTGTCACTCCCGATCTAGACTTGGATGTCAACTTTAACTCCAATTCCAACTTGTTCTTACATTTTGCATTTGTTATTTGTTATGTCGTATTTGGTTGATTGATGTTGCTGGGTATGTTAAGTTGATTGATTGATATTGCTGGGTATGTTATGTTGAAATTTCTCTGCAACTGTTCGAATTAGCCCAATACGCATCAGAAAATGGTGTTTAGTCGAATTGCCAACATCATTTCTTCTGCATCAAGTCGTTGGTCTAGCCCTCAGGGGGGTTCCAATCTATCTCCCCCCAAAATTGCCTTTGCCAACCCTGCACGGAGCAAGAACTATCTGCGTCTCTCATCATCTCTCCAGGATTTCTCGGCCTATCGCCAGATTGACCCTGAAGATCCCCATCCCAGCGTTGTCACTCATTCCAAACCCCCTGATTCCTTACAGAGAGAAACTGCCAACTCCAGCTTCTCAAAAGAGAAAGCACTGCCAGGAGGAGGAACCCCATCTGCCTGCAACAAGTGGGTTCGAGCCCTCATGCTTCTGTGTTGTATCTTGTTGTTGGGTTTTCTAATTTATTTGGTTTCCATGTTCACTTATTCTTATTGGTCTAGAGGAGAGCCCAAGTTCTATATTGTACTTGATTGTGGAAGTACTGGAACTCGTGTTTATGTATATCAAGCATCCTATGATACTGAGAAAGATGGCACTTTTCCTATTGTCATGAAGCCGTTAACACAAGGTCTTCGAAGAACATCTAATTCACACAGAGGCCGTGCTTATGATCGAATGGAAACTGAGCCCGGGCTTGACAAGTTGGTGCACAATGTTTCCGGCTTGAAGGCTGCAATAAAACCACTTATTCGATGGGCAGAGAAGCAAATCCCACAAAGGGCACATAAGACAACCTCGGTTTTCCTTTATGCTACTGCCGGGGTTCGCAGACTTCCTACTGTCGATTCACAGTGGCTTCTGGACAATGCATGGTCTATACTCAAGAATTCACCTTTTTTGTGCCAAAGAGACTGGGTTAAGATTATCAGTGGCTTGGAAGAAGCTTATTTCGGCTGGATAGCCCTTAACCATCACACGGGTATTCTGGGGGCCAAACCAAGAAAGCCAACATTTGGTGCACTTGACTTGGGTGGTTCATCACTGCAGGTTACATTTGAGAGTAATGAACAAGTGCATAAAGAGACCAGTTTAAACCTTAGAATTGGGGCCATGAACCATCATCTCACTGCATATTCTCTCCCAAGCTATGGTTTAAATGACGCATTCGATAAGTCTGTAGTACATCTTTTTGAGAGGCTTCCAGAAACCAGTAAGGCAGAACTAGTAAATGGGAAGGGAGAACTTCAGCATCCATGCTTGCAGTCCGGTTACAAGGAGCAATACGTTTGCTCTCAATGCGTTTCTAAATTCCAAGAAGGTGGAAGCCCTGTGATTGCTAAAAAGTGGTTGGATAAAGGAGGCAGATCAGGGATTTTGTTGCGGCTTATTGGTGCTCCAAATTGGGATGAGTGCAGTAAACTTGCCAGAGTTGCCGTCAATTTGTCGGAATGGTCCAATATAAATCCAGGAATTGACTGTGACTTGCAACCTTGTTCTCTTCCCAATGGTGTACCCCGTCCTTATGGAAGATTCTTTGTGATTTCCGGATTTTTTGTGGTTTATCGGTTTTTCAATTTGACGTCAGAGGCATCACTTGATGATGTGTTGGAAAAGGGTCGGGAGTTTTGTGAAAGAACTTGGGAAGTTGCAAAGAACAGTGTTGCTCCTCAGCCCTTCATTGAACAGTACTGCTTTAGGGCACCATATATTGTATTCTTGTTGAGAGAGGGATTGCACATCATAGATAATCAAGTTATAATTGGGTCTGGAAGTATTACATGGACACTTGGGGTTGCTTTGTTGGAAGCTGGGAAGGCACTTCCAACCAGAATGGGGCTTCACAGTTACGAAATACTCCAGTTCAAGATTAACCCAATATTTCTTACTGCAGTTTTGTTTATCTCTTTAATTTTCCTCCTTTGTGCATTATCATGTGTTGGCAATTGGATGCCAAAATTTTTCTGGAGGCCATGTCTCCCACTGTTTAGGACTAATGGTGCATCTTCTGGATCTGTTCTGAGTATTCCGTCTCCTTTTCGGTTCCAGCGCTGGAGTCCTATTAGCTCTGGTAAGCTCGTCCACAAAACTTCTAAAACATGTGTAGTTCTGAAATGGTCCTCAGAGTTGTAGTTATTATAATTTTAACTTTATTTGTACAAACTATCTGTCTATGATTATTCCTATTGAGGGATTTTCTTGTACAAGACTTAACTCATCATATCCATTGCCGGTGTCCATGGATTGTGAAGTCAATCCCTGAGAATGTGATTGTTAGGTTAAGCCTAACATCTAGATAAAAGAGAGTACAGATTGATCAAGTCTTAATAATCCTTGTCCGTATCTGTAGATTGAATGCAGCACATGGTTATACAAACAATTAGGACCAACTTATCCTTCATCAGTTCATATTTTCTTCTTTGTGTACAGTCATTATGTCATGGAAAATTAGGAGCAACTTATCTTGTGTAAAAGTATACTATGGATAAGTTGATCTTCTGAATGTAGAAGAGGGAATCAAATGGGGTTTAAGACCTCAACTGTTTTCCTGTTGAGTTGATATGATTCCATATATTAGTGTTAATGATATGTACAAGCAGTTCCACAATAATAGTCAACGTCCAGTTCCAAGTTATTCATCAAAATGATACGGGCTAGTAAAACTTCAAGAGAAAATGGTGATATTAGGCTATGACTCACACTGTCAGTTTCTAAAAAGGGTAGTTAGGATATGTTTACAACATGTGGGGGTACTTAATTGAAAAAGAAAGGAAAATTTTGAAGAAGTTGAGATATTTGACTCCAACAAGAGGGGACAAAAGTTTAGAGCCTTTACAGTATTGTACTATTGATTGATTGAAGTGTATATCGATTATGGGTTTTCAGGGGATGGAAGAGCAAAGATGCCTCTGAGTCCAACAATTGCTGGTGATGCCCAAAGGAGACCATTTGGCTTAAGGCATAGTCTCAACAGCAGCAGTGACATCCAGTTAATGGAGTCTTCCTTATACCCATCAACTAGCAGTATGTCCCATAGTTATTCCTCTAATAATCTGGGCCAGATGCAACTGGACAGCATTAGCATGGGTTCCTTCTGGTCTCCTCACAGATCTCAGATGCGTCTTCAAAGCAGGCGATCACAATCTCGGGAAGACCTGAATTCTTCGCTGGCTGAGGCACACATGGTGAAAATTTAAGGGATGTTCGTCTACATATTTCGGTATGCTCATTTGTTTCTTGTTCAAATTACATTTTCTTATTATAAAAAAAGAAGATATAAAAATTGCGATGGCAAGTGCCTTCGTCCATGAGCGGTAGGTCTCGGGTTCGAGACTTGGGAGCAGCCTCTCCATAAATGGGGGTAAGGCTAGCCGACATTCACCTCTCCCAGACCCTACGTAAAGCGGGAGCCTTGTGCACTGGGTACGACCTTTATGTAGCCCAGTAAAACTAAGGAATTGAGTGATGCATTCCCAAAATAAAATAGAATAAAATAGAAAATCATTGAGTTGCTAAAGTAAAGGAATGACTCTGCACCTATTTCTCTCTTGAATGTAAAGCTTAAGTGCGAAGACATCTCTTTGCTTGGGTATTGCCTGTAAAAGTGATATTCGAATTCCAAATGAAATCACACTTTCCAGTGAGAACAAGATTCCTATTTCAACTCTTGTCAGGGGTTGTGCCTTGTCCAATTTTGTTTGAATCAAAAACCTATTGCTACCTTTGTATATTTGTTTGTTTATAATCCCAGGTGCCAGAGCGATCAGTTTTAGTCAGTTGAAACTGTATTTTCTTTCACATGTTACATGATCCTTAAATTGTGTTCTGTTGAATTCACCTCTTCGTTCATAAATCTTAAAGCTCTTTGGCGTGATAATTTCATTTCAACAAATGGTTTTGCAGGCACCACGTAACGATGTTGCATTTCTGTGTGGTCTCTCCTGTGATTGTGAAATTACTCCTTGTGCCTGGCATCAGTCGCATTGGACTTGTCTTTCCACTCCCATACATATTTGAATTACATTCAATCTTTTGTTTTTTTTTTTTTTTTGTTTGGGGGTGGGGGGGTGGTTGGGTTGGTGAGATCCGCTGAGCATTATCACACGAGGCGTCTGCCTGATATGATCAGACATCCAACAATCATAAGTTTTCAACACCACACATATAAGGTATCGGAGTCTCTTGTTGAATTTTGCGGCCAAATTAACACAGAATTTTCCTCCTTCATGGGTTAGCAAATGTTGACATCAAATTGATGAAAGATGATTTACAATTTACAGGCAGCAATTATAGTAACATATACAGCCGTCTCTTATACATGCACTTGCTGCTTTTTTTTTTTTTTTATTCTCTTTTGCCTTATGGACTGTAGAAATGGGGAATGGAGTTACAGTGCAACCGCACCAATAGCCAGTTAGTTACATCCATTTACTGTTTAAATATTTTCAAACCTAATTTTTGTTAGACCAAATTTCACATTGAAATGAAAGAGATGAACATTTCCGCCACGGTAAGGTGTCTCGTACCCCTACACGTTTTTCTTTCAATATTTTGAAGAGTTAAAATGATCTTGTCACTAAATTCATGTATATAGGTGTTTTTGGAAGAGATAGGATCAAGAAATAAAGATTTTGACAAATGTTTTTACGCTTCTTTGTAACTTTTAGATCTTTGTAGACATAGTTAATCATTAAGGGTTTAGGGTTTAGGGATTGTTAAATTTTAGGGTATTTGTGTCTATTTAGATGGAATTTTGGATATATTTGAAAGATTTTACAAAAATTGACATTTTTGAAAGGTTCCTGAGATTTGCATAGCTCATCACTTTGTTCCCTGAGATTCCAAATTGATAAAAGTGGTCCCCGAGATTGTCCACCATCTATCATTTTGATCATTCCGTTAAATGTTCCAGAACTCTTGGCCGGAAGTTTGGGCAATTTTTAAAGTTTCGTAACTCAATCGTTTCTTAACCAAATTCGATCCATAATATGTCAAAATGAAGATAAGAAAGTTTAGAATAAGATTATACCTATTTCGAAGCCCAATGGTTGCCGGAGATTGCCGGGAAATAGCCTCAAAGTTGATTGGTCCGAGTGAAAATTTGAAAACTCTTCGGAAACTGGATAAATTTTAAACGTTCATAACTTCTTCAATACTCAACGAAATCAGGTGATTCAAAAACGAAAATCATACTTCTCGACGAGACGAAGAGAATGTTACCTTTTTCTACAGCTAACTCGCCATGGTTTGGCCGGAAAAAGGCTCGAAAGTGGCTAACTCGAGACCAAGACAGCCACTTTCAAGCAGTTTTCCGGCCAAAACATGGCGATTTAGTAGTAAAAAAGGTATCATTCTCTTCGTCACGTTGAGAAGTATGATTTTCATTTTTGAATCACTTGATTTCGTTGAGTATTAAAGAAGTTATGAACGTTTAAAGTTTACCCAGTTTCCGACGAGTTTTCAAGTTTTCACTCGGACCAGTCAACTTTGAGGTTATTTTCCGACCATTTTCGGCAACCATTAGGCTTTGAAATAGGTATAATCTTATTCTACACTTTTCTATCTTCATTTTGATATATTATGGGTCGAATTTGGTTAAGAAACGATTGAGTTATGAAGCTTTGAAAATTGCCTAAACTTTCGGGGCAAGAGCTCTGGAACACTTAACGGAATGACCAAAATGATTGATGGTGGACAATCTCAGGGACCACTTTTATCGATTTGGAATCTCAAATACCAAAGTGATGAGTTATGCAAATCTCAGAAACCATTTTGGCGATTTACCCTTTTTAAAATTAGGGGTTAATTTTTGGCTATATTTGATAATTGCTCATGAACTACACCCCGTAACTTAAGTAGCAATGGTTTATCAAAATTGGCCATTTCAGCCAAATTTCTAACCAAAAAAAAAAAAGAGAAGAAAAATTGCTAGAAAATGAAAAAGGGAGAAAAGAAATAAAGAGAAAAAGGGAGGCGGGTCAAGTGGGGAAGGGAAGGCAAGAGAGGAGATGACGGGTTGCGTTTGCAAGTCCTTTCTCATCCAAGGTAGCAGTACCCCACCTCTACCGCCTATTTACTTCCGTCATAGCAATTCTGGCGCGCCGCCGTCGTCTGCTCTAAATTTTACTTCACTTGGTCTCAAGGCATCACAATTTCACGCTCATGGGCTGCCTTGGAAACGATTCAATGCGCATAGTCTCCTGCCGGACAATGGCGGCTGGGACTCGGGAAACAAAAACGGCGGCGGCGGTGGCGGCCCATTTGAGTCATCCTCATGGTGGTGGCATGAGGATGGTGATAGTTCCTTGTCAGGTCCCTTGTTTTTCTCCTCCTTGTTCTTGTGCTCGGCGGCGTGTTGTTTCTGCCACCTCCGACTGGCCTGTGCGCTGGCATCATCATCGGAGGACTGCGAGGCTGTGTGGGAAGTGAGGGGAGGCAAGTGGACCAAGCTTGTTCCTGATTTTGTCCAGGATGCCTTTGTTATCGCTCATCAAGTTGGTTCTGGTTCACTGAGCGTGGGGAATCTGTGGTTGCAATCGAAACATGTCTGTATGCGATTGATGCTCCCAGAAGGCTATCCCGACTCCGTTACCAGCGATTATTTGGAGTACTCTCTTTGGAGAGGAGTTCAGGGCGTCGCCAGCCAAATTAGCGGTGTCCTTGCCACTCAGGTACTTGCTTGCCTCTCACCTCCTACCTACCTAAGTCCTCCTGACCAGCAACCATTATATTTTCACAGATTATGCTCTCTAACCTTTGCATTTGTAGGCCTTGCTCTACGCTGTTGGATTGGGAAAAGGAGCTATTCCTACTGCCGCCGCTGTCAATTGGGTCCTCAAGGATGGAATTGGATACCTCAGCAAAATCATGCTCTCTAAATATGGAAGGCATTTTGATGTCAATCCAAAAGGGTGGAGGTTGTTTGCTGATCTTCTCGAAAATGCCGCCTTTGGAATGGAAATGCTCACCCCTGCATTTCCTCATCTATTTCTTTTAATTGGTGCTGCTGCCGGTGCAGGGCGCTCAGCTGCTGCACTCATTCAGGTTATAGAATGTGACAACTTGCTTTTTTGCGATGAATGAACCCAGCCTTATTGAAAATGTGAAAGTTGAAACCCATCATTTCACAGGCTGCTACCAGGAGCTGTTTCTACGCTGGTTTTGCTGCTCAAAGGAACTTTGCTGAGGTATTGCATTTTGAAATGTGGATCCACTTTAGCAAGCATGAAAGCCTTTTACTTCCGTGCATTTGGGTACAGTGTGCTTCAACCTTTGCGTACTACTGTTCATCACTAAAAGGAACACTTCAATGCAGGTGATTGCTAAGGGGGAAGCTCAGGGAATGGTGAGCAAGTCTTTCGGTATCATGCTTGGCATAGCATTGGCTAACCATATCGGCTCTTCTATGGCTCTTGGCCTTGCTTCTTTTAGCATGGTTACTTGGATCCACATGTTCTGCAACCTGAAATCCTATCAATCCATTCAAATAAGGACTTTAAATCCTTATCGTGCAAGTAAATCCTCTCTCTTGAAACTTTTCTTAGTTGGAATGATGTTGGTGTGATATCCTTATTGCTTCTTATTTAAATTAAGTTTTATCTGCATGTAATAAGAAAGGTTTTTTTTCATCATTGACCTTCCAAAGAGAAAAAAGAAGGATTCACAATGATTCATCAGACTGCAGAAAGTTTTCTTTTGGATATTATAAAAGGAAGTTAAGTTAGTTAACTTAGCCCCCCTTTTTACCATCTTAACTAATTTGATGAAGAGGTAATCATTATGTTGTGCATTGGAGCTACAGAGCATGAAGCAGCACAAATATGGGAGTATTGTTCAAATCTAAACATAAGAAAATCAAAATTCTAAAAATATTGTCTCCCAACTCCCTCAATCTTTTAGGCCTTTGCTCTATGTGTTCTTCCCACTGAACATGGCAATCTCGCAGATGCTTGCTAGCTTATGTTTGACAATCTATGATCAACATTAATATGTTATCACTCGAAAGATTCTTTAAAGTCGTTTAGAAAAAATTGACGATGTGACTGAGTAGCAGGTGGTAGTTAAACTGGTAATATTTTGGCTTTAATTACCATACAGATCTTTATCTCCAGCATTAACATCATAAGTCATGAGAAAATTAAGTAATAACTACTTCTTGGAAATCCATTTTATAATAAGTCCAAACTTGGTTCTTGTTACTTCAACAGGCTTGGTTTTTAGCGAATATCTTCTTAGTGGTCAAGCATCTCCTGTAAAAGACGTCAATGAGGAGGAACCGCTTTTTCCAGCTGTACCATTTCTTAACTCAAAGTCTGCAAACAAAGTGAGTCATTTCTCCTTCTTCATTTGGCTTATTATTCATTTACCTCAGTGATGTGGACAGCCTTAATATTTCCTTTCCTCTTTGTTTTTGAACATTCAACCTTAGGCGCATTCAGTAGGATTATCTTCAAATGCAAAGGAAGCTGCTGCTGAAATTGAGCGTAGGCTGCAATTGGGATCCAAGCTCAGTGATCTAGTCAACAACAAGGACGATGTGCTTGCACTGCTCAGTCTATATAACAAAGAAGGCTATATTTTGTCGGAGCACAAGGGAAGATACTGTGTGAGTAATTTATCACTTTGGTAACAATCTCTGTGTCATCCCATAATGTCAGTTTTCTTGATCTGAATCCTTCCTATAAGAATCTTTAAGTCAAGTTAATTACCTGATTGGGGATTTACCTCTCTTAGATTTCCAGTTGTGAGATTGTTTTATCATCTACTATCAACATGATTAGTTACAAATATACACGCATTTGACATTTGAGTTGTAATTATAATGGCATGAATCAGGTAGTGCTTAAAGAAACGTCCTCTCTACAAGACATGTTGAGAGCATTGTTTCAAGTCAATTATCTATATTGGCTGGAGAAAAATGCAGGATATGAAGCAAGAGGCACTTCTGTTGACTGCAAACCAGGGGGATGGCTGCACCTTTCTCTAGAGTATGTGCGAAGGGAATTCAACCATGTCAAAAATGATGCGGAATCAGCTGGTTGGGTAACAGATGGGCTTATTGCGAGACCTTTGCCTAATAGAATTCGTCCGGTTTATGTGGCCTAATCCGTTGCTTTTATGATATGACCTATGGATGTTGTTAGATGATGTTTTGTAGTAGGCACATGAGGAAACTATTCTTGAGATCGTCATGTGATCCTTCCATGCTCGTACTGTCTATTCATTGTTTGATGCAAAGCTTTAAATACCGTTTCTCAAAGATGGGGCAAGAGAATCCTTGAGGACGCGTGCTTTGACAAGTGAAGGCACCACTTTATTCACACCTCTTCTTTCAACAGTGAGATTAAAGATGATTATGCACTATGCAAATGACTAATCAATTGGTGGGCTTGGCAATTTGTACAGAGAGGCCCTTTCCTTCCTACTACGTTTTGAGGATTTGCGTGGCCTGGACATCACAGTGGCGGTAAACTTATTCCACCTGCTCTCCTAGGTCACTGATGACTCTTGTAGGTTTCAGGTCACTGATGACTCTTAGTTGCAGATTTTCATTATATTCAGTAAATACTGTTGGACATTCGATTGCACCGTGTAGCTGTGTAAGCATGAAGCAAATGGATGGCCTTTTTGGTGAATCACCTTTAATTCGGATTTTTCTCTATAATTTTTCTTGTTCTTTTTTCTTTTCTGATTTTCTTTTTCTGTTTTTATTTAATGTTTATGCGGCAAATTCTTACTGGCTCACCAGACAAGCTGAAACAGGTCGAATACCTGCTTGATCCTTTTCCCCAAAATTGGTGTGGAAACAATCAAGAAACATTGAATTTCAATTTTTTTACCAAAAATAAAAAAGAAACATTGAAAATTTGATATTTCGGAAATTCATCTTCCAACGAAAGGAAAACAAGAAATTAATGTAAATAGAAAACAAAAAAGTTGTACATCATTAAGTGACATGTAACAACCCGTTCTAAAAATAAGTGCAAATTACGATTATGCCCTTGTGTTGGGCTTTGTCAATCCGGCCCAAATCTTTGGGCTTTGGGACTCACCAAACTATGACCCGGCCCACAGTTTTCTTTTGTTTTTCCCTACACGTGACAACTCTCTCCTTCCTCATTTCTGCGAACTTCCCTCTAACTCTCAAATTCTCTCTCTAAGTTCTGAGAGCTTCACTCTTGCTCTCACTCTGATTCTCTCACAAACCCAGCCCCAAAATCATATATTTGGAATCCCTGAGACTCAAGAAACTTGAATATATCCTTGCATGCATCATCGGAGCACCATTCAATGATCCACCATTGGAGCCTAGAGCTTCAAGCTTCGAAACTCAAAACCCAGGTGAGATTTCTCGTTTAACCTTTATATTCATGGGTTAAATCATGTCTGGTGTTGATTTGAGGTCGAATTTTTGGACTATTTGTTCATGCATGCACTTTGTTTTCCATTTCCAGATTTCCAGCGTCGTTGGCTAGTTGCAAACCATTTCTGGCCACTAATCGACTTCGCCTTGTTATATCTTTGGCATAATCTTGTTCCTCATTCGTTTAGCTTCGTTTTGATGTTTAAATAATGAATTTTGGTCGAGTTTTGACACAAATCAGAGCTCGAGAGTTTCCCAGCCATCTTTTTCCAGAATCCAATGACCCACGAGCCCAATCGGGTCGACCCAACCCGCAATCCAAAACCAGACCCAAAATCGATTTGAAATCCGGCTAGAATCCACTAACCCGACCAGCAACTTGTACCGACCCAAAATCCAATCTGAAACCGTTGGGCCGTACGACCCACTAACCCGAGCCCAATTCTAACCCTGGCCCAAATCTGTTAAACCTTAGCCCAAGCCAAATCCTATAACCCGGCCCAACACCTTGGCCCAATAACTCTAACCTGGTTTACCCCTTCAAGCCCAAAACCGAGATCCAAATTGGATCCAACTCGACCCAACCCAGCATCTCGGTCCAACTTGACAACCCAAGCCCAGATCCGACCTGTTGACGGTTAACTCGACCCGTTGACTTTTTTGTCAACGTTGACTTTTGGGTTGACTTTTTCGGGTTTTGGCCGAACCCCTCCTAGACTAATTTTGACATCTTGATTCCAAATCCACACTCTGTTTTCCCAAATTCAATCGTTTTAATTGCATGTTATTAAATAGTCTCTATTTGTTTATAGATGCATAAGTTGAAAGTGATCCAGTCCTCTTTAGTTCGAGCAGCTCCCCAAGAGCGAAGTATTTGTGAGTGGACCCCTTCTCAAATCAAATGTTTTATAACTATCAGTCTAGCATGCATTTCATATTTCATGTTTTGAATATGTCTTATATTATGCTTTTGGCTTTATGGATTTCTATATTTATAATTTATCGAGTTTACGTTTTATGAAATGTAATGAATTGTTGAATTCGCACGTTATGAAAGGTTTACAACTATTGCTTTTATGCTTTATGAGATCTTATGGATTTACGAATATGGTTGATGATGATTTGAGCTAGAAAGTTTCTATGAATTTATGAGTTGATGCTTTGAGCATTTGAGCTTCGAAGTTTGATACAAGTTTTGAGATATGTTTTCATTGACTATCTAGTGGGTTATTATACGGCACATACACACAACACGGGTATTAGTCTATGGCCATAAGACACAGTTGATGATACTTATGTTATACCCCCAGCTTCATTAGCGAAACCAGTGTCGGACAGCTTCACTAGCCACGACTAGTGTTAGTGTGTGTTATGCTATATATAGATATATTCCTTCTCTAGTGTAACCTAGAGTCGTACAACTTCACTTTTGGGTGATAGGGCCTATCATGTTTCTTCACTGGCGTAACCCAATGTCGTATGGCTTCGCCTTCAGGCGATGGACAGGTACTACCTTTGGCCGACTACGATACCCCTAGAGATGATAGTTTTGATGGGATTTATGGATTTGCCTTCGGGCGTTTCGATATCATTTTTAGAGATGATTTTACGGTTATGAACATTTTTTGCATGCTAAAGTTTTAGAAAAGCCTATATGTAGTATTATATACGAGTTTTCAAAACAAGGGGCTAACATGTTCAGAAGGAAATCAGTTTTATTAATATTAGTATTAGTATAAATTATGGACCACTCCCCCTTTTGTTTTAGCACCCCCTAACGACATAGTGACGAGGAGTACGACCCGAGCATCGAGGCATTTCCCTATCAGTGACTTTGCGACCTTCCATTTGTGTATGATTTCCTAATGATAATTGTAATTTAATTTCTTATCTTCACTCGTACTTCCATGTAGTAGTGTGCTATGGACATATTTGCACATCTTTTGTTTTCGGATTTGTGATCGTTGGTTCTTCCGTTGCACTCATGTTTAATTCGGGATTTATTATTGTCTTCTAGCATTTGTATATTTTTAGAATCATCGTTTTTGTCATATGACTTTTGAATTACAGGTTCTCTTATATTCTTGCGTATTTATATATTTATGGCTTTCGTCACTCTCAAATATCGATCAGCACGTGCCATCCAGGTATCATTAGGATATCTAGGTTAGGGCATGTCAGACAAGGAACATAAAATACGAAATTAGCAAAGACAGCACTGTGCTTCTCACATTTTCATTACTATTAATTCGTGTTAATTTGATGTGTTTAAAAAATTAAGTTTTGTCATTATAGTTTATCTTTAATAAATATAATAAATGCAAATTTGTTTTAATAATTTCGGGTCCATTCTTTATCTTTACCCTATAGAGACATTGAATAGAACGAACTACTTTTTTCGCCACTAAGTTTGAAAATAAACATTTAATGTCCTTTCATTTTTTTACTAATCTTGTACATCAGTAAGGGATAAGAAAAATAAAATACGCAAATTAGCCAGTGCTGCCAGATGGATCTCCAGAAATTGCACTGCCATTCAAAGCTGATCCAGTCTGTGAAGCGGTACCGTGAGCCTTTTGGATCTGCCGTGAGCCTTTTGGATCTGCCGAATCCTGAAGGCATCTCTTGGGAGCGGGTGACTCTGGACCGTCATTTCGTCGTCCTCATGCCCTATCAATCATAAGAAAATTTGGTACCATGAAATATCAACTTGACCAAAAGCCTGACTTAGACTTATACAATATCCTTCTGGAATCTTACACTAACGCGCACACCTATCTCAACAAAGAAAGGAAATACGTACTATCTAAATGTTTCATTTTTCCCCCTGGTTGGCTTGAAAGATGACCCACTTAGGATGGGATGAGACTTGCTTAAAACAGAAAGGTCACTTGTAGAAGGGGCGGTATAGATGCCAATGGCATTGGAGCAGTCCCTGACTTCGCAGGCTGTGGTGTTCGTACATCATAAGCTGTGGTGTTCGTACATCATTTTGTAAACAAATCGATAACACTGTTAGATCAATATTAGAAAATATGAAAATAATATAAGAATTCCAATAAACAATAATCATAAAGAAATTCACAACATCAATTGCATACAAATTAATATAAACAACGTAGAGAAAAAGTAAAAAAGATTGACAAAGTTGGAGATTGAAGTTTGCATAAATGCAATGTCCTAAAGACAGACCCAGATAGGTGTTGGTGAATTAGTTTATCCTCTCGTGCTAGATAGCATACCCAGATGGGTGCCGGGGAATTAGTTTAAGCATACCCAGATGGGTGCCGGGGAATTAGTTTAAGCATACCCAGATGGGTGCCGGGGAATTAGTTTATCCTTTTGCACTAGCAAACCCATATGGGTGTCAGAAAATTAATTTACCCTCTCGCGTTGGAGAGCAGACCCAGATGGGTGTTAGGAAATTAGTTTACCTTATCGCGTTGGAGAGCAGACCCAGATGGGTGTCAGGAAATTAGTTTATCTTCTCACACTAGAGAGCAGACCTAGATGAGTGTTGAGGAATTAGTTTACCCTCTCACGCTGAGGGGCAGACCTAAATGGGGATAGGGGAATTAGTTTACCCTCTCACACTGGAGAGCATACCCATATGGGTTTCGGGGAATTAGTTTACCCTCTCGCACTAGAGAGCAAATCCAGATAGGTGTCGAGAATTAGTTTATCTCTCGCATTGAAAAGCATACCCAGATGGGTGTCAGGATTAGTTTACCCTATCACATTAGAAGGCATCAAAGTTGTTGTTGTGAGTGCAGTTGAGGAAAGCTGAATTGCTGGACAACCAAAATAATCCTCAGCATGTGAGATCTTGTTCAACAATTTGCTTGAGACTTCAAATTGCTTATGGAACCCATGTAAGTGTGTAAGTAGGGAGCGTAATGAGCTGCTCTCGGACCTTCTCCAAGTATTGCACCATCTTTAGATGTTTCATCGTGTGCTTTTCTGAGGCTTGGTTGGTAGTCAGCTGAGAATCTTAATGGATTGCAAACTTCTTCACCGCTAAGTTTTTCGCTAGCAAAGGCTGCTAGTAAAGCCTTGTATTCTAATCCATTATTTAATGCTTTGAAGTTTGGAGTGTCGTGGGGTGGTTATGAGCTATGGAGCATAAATCGGCCGAATGGGGAGCCGCATGGCAAGATCGGCACGTCCAGGAGCCGTGGTACAAGATAGGCACGGTTGTGAACAAGGAGCCAAGATCGCTGATACTACCCCAACCGTTGGAGTACCTTATAGGACAAAAAAAAATGATTTTCTTTTGATCTCAAGGTTGTTACCGACCGATT